ATAATGAAGGAATCATAATAAATAGTAAACCTATAACGATGTTTGAACTTATAATAGACTGGTTAAATAACTCCATATCAACATTTATAAATTTTAAAATAAGTATCTACTATAGGGCAAAAACTGTAAACCACAACATTTTAAATGACGGAAGTGATCAAAATCAAGTTCGTTGTACGAGTAAATATGTTTTAATACTGTTCTACCTGTCTTTGATCAGAACCCAATTCTCTCAAGGAATTAAAAGGTTGGTTTGGGGACACAGTTCGACTATGCCCAATCTACTGTACCACTTTATTATTCTCATTTGCCAATTAGCAATATGTGTTTTTTAAAATATCTAAACTTCCCATTCCAAATCCATATGTGAAAATTAGAAGATATCACTCGAATATCGCTAATAAAATAACTAAAAATTTAAGAATTTATAGGACGAACTTTTTTCTATAATAATTGGAATAGCACAGAAATTACACTATTCAAGTACTTTACAACCAAAGCTTAAATACCATGATATCAACGTTTCTATAATACAGAAGTTAGCATATGATAATAATAAAGCATTCACTTTGAATGTGAAAGATCTCGGGTTGAATCCCCGGGATCATTTCAACAGAATTTATCAGTTATCATATATGAGTAATATGTTTATCCATTATCTTTCCCTTATGATTACTGTAACACTGAATACAGCAAAATCAATGCATTTACACCGGTCAAATTTTAACGAAATCGTGTTTAAAAAAATATTATATAAATTTTTTGTAAATTTCTGACATACTTCTTGTGCCTCACAAACTTAATAAGTTGTGTGTAGATAACTGTACAGATTTGTTTTCTTATCACGAGGTAATAGAAAATAACCTTGTTCAATACACTTTTGTTTGAAATTAGGGATGTCCGTTTAACAGCTGTACAAAGTGATAAAATCTCCTTTGGACTCTGCCTAAATTGATTTGAATGAGAGATGTTGTGAAGAGTAGATAAACTCTATACCTACTTTTAATAGTGGCAAAAAATTTGTAATTGATTAAAATTGCTTAGTATCAGAAGGCAAAAAGTAACAGTTTTCGAAAAGAGCTGCATAGTTTTCATTAAATTACGCAGATTTGATGAAAAATATTACTGTCTACTGATAACTATTGGGAATCAAAGTACATGCAAAACCTAGGATCCCAAAATACTTAAAAAAAAAACAAGCAGAACAAGCAAAATCACCAAAAAATTTAAAAAATGACTATCAGTGACTCATAAAGACTGAAATTGAATATTTTCAATGATGGTCCCCAAGCACCCAAAATCGAGAAGTTTTAGGCAGTGTGCAAGGAAAACCACAGAGAGAAAAAAATCCATTCAAAAATAAAACTAAAATTAAAAGGATTTAAAAAGATATTTCACAAATTATGACAAAATTTCCCGAAAATTTAGGAAGAAAGAGAGAGTATTGACAGTATTTGGAAAAACTTCTGACTATAGTTAAGTTGATGCTATTAATAAATCTGGTTAGTTTTTTTAACAGCTGTCTTAATACTTTCTAATTGTACCTTATTCTTAACCATTTCATTAAAAAATTATATTTTCAAATGTACAGCTATTAACCGGACATCCCAATCATTATCATATGCTAGTTTTTGACACATTGATTTAACCCTGACGACAACCATAAAATATAAGGTTGGCTAAGTTATAATAATATAATCGAAAATGAAACTAGAGTTTCAAAAATGGCTGAAATTTGCTTAAAAATGTGCCTGTTATCAAAAATATCAAGTATAAAAGTTATATTCAAGAGAGTCTTCGTGAAAGATGGGGGAAATTATGTCAAATCAACGTTGATTGATAGACAGTATTGATGTCAAATACTAAAACCCTTGATTAAAACCATGTCACGTCAAACATCAGATTCCTGGAAATGGAAATATCGATTGTAAAATGTTTACACCATCTAACTTAGATTTTACCTACAATTAAGTAAAGTAACCTCATTTGACATACACCTGTTAAAACTTTTATGACTTAAGCGGCTTAAGCTAAACCACCCTTATAAGTAGAGATCGGATTTTATGAAATTTGCATATCCGTCATTTTTTGCATATAAGTCTTGATATTTAATATGTGAACCAATCATGTTAATTAAAAATGAATACAGGTATAAAAAAATTGCATATTTGCATATGTTTGCCTTCTGCTGCATATTTCACGTAACGGGTGCATATCTTACATTTTTATCAATTTTTGTGCTAATTCGAAAAAAAAATGATTGTCATTCTATCGGCATTTATCGAAAAAGACCAAATTTCACGATTCATATTGCAAATATTGTCCTGAGCTTCAAATAACTAGGAAAGGTTTGGGTTTTATGGTAGTTTGGAGAAACCACCAGGCAAATTCGCGCCCTAATTACTTTTGGAAATACGTTCATTCCCAATATTTTTGTTCGTTACTTCAGTGTATTAATGGTATGTTTTGTGGTAGTCGAAGGGACGTTAGCTTATTATTTTCCATCGTGAGTTTGCATTGAAAGCATTTAAAGAGATACAGGTGTGTCAATATGCCGAAGATGGCTCAAATTAATTTGTGGATTAAACCTTTTCCTGAACTTATTCTTCAAGAAGAAACTGTGTTTTGTCGCGCCTGATCTAAACCGGTAAGTATTTTTACATCTGTGGACGTAGTACGCAGTTTTGCTATTTACAAATACATACTTTAGAATCACCGGAAAAACTTTTTGTTATAATATTTCGAAAAATATTTAAAAATATATTGTTACCAAAATAGTAATTAAATAGCCGATTACTACTATTTTTTAATTTGTTCTGTTTATATTTATTTTTTAGTATAAGAATATTATCATTAAAAATGTGATTTATGTGTTAGTGAGATGTAATTAAACACTTTACAATTTTTTGTAATAAAACGTAAGCTCGGGAAACCTGTTTTTGTAATTTGTAAGTAAATTTAGTTCGCTTATTAAGCTTTTTTTTTATTTTTAGAGCATATGCAACTGCATATCTCTGCATATATTAAGAAAGCTACTGCATATTTGTATAAATTTGGTGCATATCATATGATCATATTTCCCAAAATTTTGCTGCATATTTTCCGCTCTCTACTTAGAAGTCAAACTGGCTATTGTATTACTTAACTCAGTTCACAGCTACATTATGCCAACAATGAACATCTTGCGGTTCGGGTCCACAAAGATTACAATAGCCAGTTTGACTTATAAGGGTGATTTGACTTAAGCCGCTTAAGTCATAAAAGTTTTAACAGGTGTATGTCAAATGAGGTTTGTGTACATCTTATCCTCCCACCATCTGCTACAATACATATCACTGAATTTAGTGATAATGAATAAGCTTTTAAAAATTTTAGATCAAAAGACGCAGATTTGAGATTCACTAGAAAAAATACGTTTTCCCCCTATGTTCTAGGTCTTTGCCATTTCTACTGAAACACCACTTATTGATTGGAAATTGGGCAACGTTCACATTCAGACTAGTAATTTTTCTAGAGAGCTCTTACCAATGTTAGATGTCAAAGATGTCATATTTATCAAAAACATTTAAAAAAGCAGTAATTGTCTTTTTGTTTGAAAATAGAACAAAATGGAAAAAACGAGTAATTCTGAGTGCTGATGAGATCAAAAAAAGCTATAAAGTTTTATCATATAAACTCACCACACCACATACCAACCAATGTGATCTATAAAAGAACAATAATTTGTGTTGAAACTTCATAAATCTTTTCCATAAGTTAAACAAGTTTCTTTTTCAAATTTCGAAAAATTTACAAGTTTTTTGTTTTCTCAATTCCTTCTTTAATTTTATTATTACTTGAGTTTTAAGCTCTTCAAATTCTTGGAATTTTGAAGAAAAAACCTACCTTATCCCACATAATACATTTTCCTTTTTCAGATATCTGTTATTAGTAATTACTGACTACAGCATTAAAAAAACATAGTATAAAAAACAAGGCAGGAAGTGTTAACATGTGACAAATGATATCCCAACGCCTACTCTGAGTGATTTTTCAATGGAACACCCGTTATTTGTAATAATACGATACAGTTGAGACTAAATCCACTGAAATGAGTAGCCATTTAGAATCTCCCACAAATTTAAATGTATTTAGGCGAAGATTTAAATAAAATAATAATTTAAGAGCACCGCCCTCTGCTAAATATTTAAATCGACTTTATCTAAAATTCTCATACGCCTTAAAACAAAAGGTCAACTCCAGTGAGTTGACGGTATAATTAGAGTGAAATGTTATTCTTAATTACCATTTGAATGGACTTTTAAATTACAACTGTTCTCGTGCAAATTTTCAGGTCCTTTTCAAATTATCCGAAATAGCAAGCTTTTACTCAACATGTGTCTGCCAACGCTCCGGGTATTTGCGTGATCGGTTTGACAGTGATCTAGAGCATCCACTGACCGTAATGGAGATGTATCTGCCAAAAAGTAAAGGATGTGAAAAGTCCTTTTAAATGTGCTACTTTATTGGGAGCATTCCCAAGAAGGTACTTTGTATCATCTTTACTACTCCACCTTCTGAATTTTTTAACTGTTACTCAACTCTAGCGCGTCCACATCCCTAATGTAAAAGAGTAAGAAAAGCAAAGAAACAATAGTTTAACGTCGAACGGTAAAATTCGCTGCTTGTTATTAATAATAAATGAAAAACGAATACTGACTGGTTAAAAATTCACTAGTACCCGTTTTGAAATTGCGCTTGTTCTGAAAACAATGTTCTTTGCATGCATTAAAAGCATCATTAAAATTTTATCAACACGCTATTACTTTTTGTGTTTTTATTGGAGAGTTAAACGCATTAAACTTCTGACAAACACAACTTTGTGAAACTTTTCAAAGTTTATTCGGTTATATCAACAAATCAAACCTCTCTTAATCTCGAAAATTTCAATTCTCAAATCAACCCCAAGTTAAAACAAATCTTCAAATTCAAACACCATTCATTAATTTGTGCAAACTTACTGCTTGTTACGATGGCGACTGATTTCCACTTCATGTTGAGCACAACTCTCGCAAATCCTTTAGTTATTGTTGGAATAGAAGGGCTGAGTCTTAAATCTTGAGTTATATCGATTTCCTTTGGACTCTGGAAATAATGGAACAAAATTAGAAAGTCAGGAAGTCATAAAAAATTAATGTATATACCTTCGGGCAGTTCCATGTCACTAATGTAGTATTATAAAAACTTGAAATAAAATGGGCAGGTGAACAGAGTTCTGTTTTAAAAGACCCTAAAACAGGTCCGTTACTTGTTGATAATATGTGCAGCAGCTTGGAAGGGTCCTCGCAAACATCTGAAACAAAAACACCCTCAGAACACAGTTAGAATGATAAAGATGCTGCGAAATGCCCCAAAAATATATTTTTATTCATCGCAAACAACGGAAGGTTAGTTAATTTATTATTTTTTTTTTATAAAAAGGTAATTTAAGTAGTATTTATAAAACACTGCAACACGTTCTGACATTTGTTAGAATTTCAGTATTTGTTATTGAAAAAATAAGAGAATAGATGTTATACAAATTTCAGTAATTCAAAAATAGTACCTCCAACAGTAAAAATTTGACTAAAATATTGAATACTATACAACGTTAATTATGTATCATAAAATACAATAAATATAACAGTGAAATAACGTGTCGTTTAAAATCCTAGTAATAATATAAATTTTAACGTGTTTTAATAAATGCGTTAATTTACAAGTCAGTTCAGTGGAAGGAAACGTCATGTCTTTTGAAGGTTCATCCAATTCAAATCAGGACTGAGAATCTGCATCACCTCGACAACGACAATGAGAACCGACATCCCAGAACCAATTTTATAATGTTTCTAAGTAGAATCTGTGTCTGTTTTCTTTTTTATAATTTGTTTTTATAAAAGTAGAGGCTCCTAAGTCACTGATCCTTCAATTAAAATGAAGCACTGTGGAATTAAAATTGCACTCTAATTACTCAACTCGTATTTGATCTTTCTAGGAAACAGAAAGGAAGATAAACAAAGAAATTATTTCAAAACGTTAATTTAAAGAGTGAAAAGACTTGTAATTGGTAGAATACTGGGCACAGTAAATACTAAAATGAATTCGCTTATTTTCATTAGACTGCGCACGTTCATACCTACAATTTATTATATTGAAAGCAACTATATGCGGTTAATCGAGTAAACATATTATGAATTACGAACTTAGAACAGTTTCATATTTCCATGCAGATTGTGTTTGTTTAACATCATATACGACATCATAGACGTAATATCGATTGATTACTCTGTTACCATATCTGTTTACATTCTTTTCATAGCTGCTATCTAAATTGGTATTACCTTTAGCGCACTAACCGATTCCATAATGCTGTAAAGATACCATAACATTATGTCATTATCATATCATATTTCATAGTAAATACATGTCATTTAAGAGGAAAGCAAACCATTATTTTTTTATTAATAATATAAAATATTACACATTAAAGTTGAACTATTTGTCCCTCATGTTGAATAAAATTAAATAAATTTGTACATCGTTGAGCATATTTAATTGACAGCTGTGTTTTATTTAAAACCGCGAAAACCTCGTATTGATGGAAATTTGTGGCTCGGGATTTGCTAAATGCAAATAAACACCAGGGCGTGTGACTGCGCATTACTATTAAAACAATTAGGAGAGATCAATAACTATTTGTTAATAGTTATTGTTTGTTGACAATATACAAAAAATATTAAAACATTTTATGGTTAAATTATTCAAGTTATAACTATATTGGAACGTAGAAGGAGTCAGAAGAGAGTTGAATAGGTATAATATTAATCAAACTTATCCAGAAACAAAGTTATAGTTATTGACAAAAAGAATTCAGTTAATTATTATCGCAGTTTCTAATAAATTGAAAATATCGAATTATTTTTGATCTAGGTCTTAACAACTAAAAAATAAAAAAGAATACAAAATCAGCATAACTATTTTTTCAACTTTAGCGCTGCAAAAAAACTATTAAAGACAAAAGCGTCAATTAGGTTAATAAATGAAAATTTAAGATATGGCGAACACTGTTCTGTGGAACTGTTGCAAATTCTCATTTGCAGGAAAAATACCGCTAATGCCCTGACTTTTATTAAAACCCGTATAAACTCTGGAGAAAATTTAACCGCCTTCTCTCAATAATACAGTAGTGCGATCACACAAAGAAAGTAGGTCGTTTCGCAGGGATGGAGAAAATTTCAGTTTATTTTGTGATTTTTAGAAATGATAAAATCTACTCCACTAGAGATTTCATAATTTATAAATATATAAAATAAAGTATACTTTGATAGCTCAAGGGGATAAAGTCGGAGGCCTTTTTTATAAGTTCTAAAATGTTTTGCCATAAAAATTTATAGCTTGGGAGTGCGTTGACGTTACTAATATCCGTCCTACAAAGTAAGTAGGTATTTATATGCTGTTTCCTAGAGGTTTCTAGAAATTAAAAATTATTTTACATATTCATGTAGTTTGCATACATATATTCTGGAATGTTAATTTATTTTAACATTCTTTTAAGAAATAATTTGTTTAGGATGTAAATTATATGTACTTTCCAGTTAGTATAAAAATGAAAACATTTATTTTGACTCATGACAAGAACGTCATTCACTTGAGTAGATCCTATTAAATATTATTCCTAATATTTGTTTTTAAACTACACGTTAATTTACAACAATTTTTATTCAGGCATTAATAACACTTTTATCGGAAAATATTGTGCTTACCTGCAAATTAAAACAAATCATTTTATAAAAATCCTAAACGAGAATGAAAACAAAAAAAAATGTTTTGAAACTTAAATTGTATTACTAATCATAGCTAACAGTTTCCTGTTTTAATAAACTTGGCAAGATAATACCACGAACGGAACAATTGTAAGCATAGTAATTTCTTTCTTTTTTTTTTTGTAAAAACAAAGGAATATAGGTTGAAATTCCACTTTCACTCTTGTTCTTTAATCATTATTAAACTTTTGTCAGTTTTACTAAAGATTACTGCTGATGGCAATTTGTCTATAGGACTTAAGGAAACACAGGAAAGTAATCATTTCTTTTTATCTAGGAAACAACTTCTAAGAAAAGCTAATATTTCTTGTACGTTTTTGTGACACATTCTATCTCAAAATAATGACGGAAAGATTTTATAAATAATTAAACACACACATATTTTAGTGAATATGTTTTAATTCAAAAAATAGATTAGCATTTTTTGCGTATGAGTACAGTGTTGCAAATTTTGTACTTATCTGTGGATAATTGTTCCAGAAATTTATATGGATAACACACAATAAGAAAAAGTCAAAGATTATATCATTAAATTACCTTTATCACTACAACATATGCCCCAGTACAAACTTCTGCATTAACGACAAACATAACTTTTCTTAATTGTGTTATTGTGCTTAAATTCCATAAGTGACAACGGCACGTTTAGTTTGTTTTGCCCTAAGCCATTTGATACACAGTATCAAGCTGTTTTACCTGTGAATAAGTGCCATCCATTCACCCACTTCGCTAAAACTAGGTCGAACAGGAATATCATATTTCATTTCCCTGCAGACTAAGATATCTTTGGAGAAAATACGAGTAAATGAAACGTACGTGTATGTATTTTGGCCTAATTAATATTTCTGAAACAAAGATTAATGTAATAACTAGCTCAATTAGCGCCATGTGTCAGACTCATATTTAGATAAAGATAAGAGATAAGTCTTTCATAATTCAAATACCACTAATAGGCCATCGACACAGGTATTTCCAATTTTAGATAGACGAATCCGCAGAGAAATGATTTATGAGTTTCTAAAAGCACCATTAACGCGGTAGTTACTGTAACTAATTGAACAAGTTTCTCTTAACCTACCACTCTCCTCGGACGATACTTTTCTTGATCGATGGTGGCGCTAATTAACTTTAATACCTGCCCTTCCGCCTTACTCAAAACTTATCTGAAAAATTGCTTTTCAACAAATCAGTTTCCCTTATTTCTAGGCACGTTTTACTACACGATTTTATTTATATTTTATGAGATGGCCTCAAAAAGAAAAAGTTTAGTATTATTTCTTCTTAAATCGAAATAAAATTACACGCCTATTTGTCAAGTGTCAGACGGAAGTTAATCGACAATGAAAGAAACGAAATAAATTATGATAATCCGTTATACAGCTGGAAGAATAAAAATGATCGTTTGCCAAAACATATTTTCAGCGTCGTCAACAACACTATTGCATGTAACCCTAAGGAAGCCTAACTATAAAAAATAAAAATAGAGTCGGTTAAATAAATATCCCAAATCTATTTAGGGTGCAAGTAAAGATTTATTCACTGGTAGATTTATAACACATAGGTGTTTCGGACACTGGGTAAACAAATAAATAAATAAATAAATAAATAATAATTAAATAAATAAATAAATATGATATTTATGATTTTAAATATTCTCCTTTAACATCGTTGATGTTGAGGGATACTTCTCTAAAAATGTTAACAGGAAAAAGGAAACATTTTTCTGCCGTAAATTTAAAAAAATATCTAATTTGTTATGAAAATGTTAACGAATATTAGGATCGCTGATTATGTAGAATAATAAAATAAATGTAAATCTCTAAGAAAACCAGACGTTGCGTAATATTAATATTTCCTAGAACTTGCCATTTTTCGAGTCTAAATCCCCCGTTTTTTATCGCCCATTTTAGGGCATATTTTGTTTTTTTTAGCCTAAAATCCCCTCTTCAATAATAACTAAGACTTATAAAGACAGACTTGTTGATTTTCGCGTGAAAAATGTTGCGATTAAACGATGACACTAAATTTTACGAGAACGTTTTCTTTAACTTATTACGTAAAGAATCCAGGTCAGTTGCTTCTTTAATCACCCTTTCATTAACAATTTGATCATTAAAAATGTTTAACTTTCCTAGTCGCTAAAGTATTGCTTTCAACGTCTTAAAGACTAAAAAATTGGTCTAAAGTTGTTTAGACAGAACTTCTGCCCCCTCTGAAACATAATTAATTAAACAATTAAAGTTTTTTGGTAAAATATGTTTTAATTGGATTCTGTTATTATGTTTGTTATAATAACTAACCCCTATAAGTTAAAATAAAAACAGGGGTGCGTTATTGAAGAGGTAAAACAGCATGTGTATGTTTTAAGAAATCAACTTTTTAAACAGGAGAAATATGGACACATACATGTACAAAACCATGCTTTCCTGGAAATTTCAAATGAAATTGAGTTTACAAAATTTCAAATCGATGCCATCTGGTTTTCGGAAGA